AGGTTAATCTTTGATCCTACTGTCAAGAAAATCACTTGGGAGTTAGGATTGATCTTTGAAAGTGTTCATCAGTTTAGGGAAGTAGTCACCAAATATGCAATTCAAAAAAGGGTGCAGATTGAGAAGTACATAAATGAGCCACATAGGGTGTGGGTTAGATGTGTGGCACCTAGATGTAGATGGCTTCTTGCAGCTAGTAAAGATGGGAGTTCCAATAATTTTAAGGTGAAAAGATATAATCCAGTGCACAAGTGTTATACAACCAACAAGAACAAGTTGTGTAATTCAAGATATCTTGCCAAAAAATTCAAGAGCAGAATTATGTCACAACCAGGTATGAAAGTTAGGGAGTTCAGAAAATTGATAAAGCAAAAAACTGGACCTCTATGTAGGGAGATCAACTGCCCACAGGGCTAGAGCAAAGATATTGAAAGAAATCATTGGTGATGTGCATCAAGAGTTCAAAAGGCTCTATGACTACAGAGATATGATTTTGCAGACCAATCCTGGGAGTACCTGTGTGGTAAAAGCAGAAGATCCAGGTGATGGGAAGCTGGTATTCTCCAAAATCTATGTCTGTTTACATGCCATGAAAAGGGGCTGGCTGGAAGGATGCAGAAGAAATATTGGCCTTGATGGATGTTTCTTGAAAGGAGTTTGCAAGGGACAACTTCTTGTAGCTGTCTCCAAAGATGGAAACAATCAGATGTTTCCAATTGCATGGGCAGTTGTGGAGGTAGAGAACACATTCAATTGGACATGGTTTCTGAAATGTTTGAGTTAAGATTTGGGCTTACAATATGGAAGAGACCTTACAATGATGTCTGATATGCAGAAGGTAACTACTTTCAGTTCTGCTTCAGTTGTTTAATTAAATTCTGTTCTGCTTCAGTTTTTCTGTTTTCATTATGTTCTGCTTCAGTTTTTCTGTTTTCAGTTGTTCTGCTTTTTATTGTTCTGGAATGCTGCAGGGTTTAATTAATGCTGTTAGAGACTTGTTACCTGAGTGTGAACACAGGATGTGTGCTAGGCACATCCTTGCAAATTGGTCAAAAGAGTGGAGAGGGTTGGAGAGGAGAAATACTTTCTGGAGATGTGTAAGGGCTTCTAGTATTCCAGAATTGAATGACCAACTTGATATGCAAGACAAGCTTGGGGATGGAATATGTCAAAGTTTACTCCACTATAGAAAAGAAACATGGTGTAGAGCTTATTTTAACTGTGATAGGAAGTGTGATGTAATTGACAACAATATGTGTGAGACTTTCAATTCCTGGATTTTGGCTGAAAGACACAAAACAATCATCACAATGTTAGAGGATATTAGAATTAAGCTGATGACTAGGATAGGTAAGATGAGAGAGTTCTGTGAGACATGGATATGTGATATCTCCCCAATAGCAATGAAGATTTACCAGGATAATTTAGCCAAGTCTATGAAGTGTACTCCAAGATGGAATGGTGAAACAGGCTATGAGATTGAAGATACTAAATATAAGCATGTGGTATCCTTAGTGACTATGACCTGTAGTTGTAGAGCTTGGCAGTTAAAGGGCATTCCTTGTTGTCATGCAATTGCTAGTATGCATTACAAGGACATGGAACCTATTCACCACATTGCACATTGGTATCGTAAGTCCACTTACTTGAAGGCTTATTCAACTTTTATCCAGCCTGTCCCATGTATGAAGCAATGGCCATCTTCAAGCCACCCCCCGATTGAACCTCCCCCTATTAGAAACATGCCTGGCAGACCAAAAAAAATAGGAAAAGAGAAGAAACTGAACACCCAAAATCTGGAAAGCTTTCAAGGAGAGGTATGGAGATGACTTGTTCCCTTTGTGGTGTGTGTGGACACAACAAGAGGGGATGCCCAAGTAAAAAATCTGCAGCTGGAAATGCTACTGCTGGAGCTGCTTCAGCTGGTACTGCTTCTACTGGAACTACTGCAGCTGGAACTGCTTCTGCTGGAACTGCTGTAGCTGATACTGCTTCTGCTGGAAATGGTAGAGGAAGAGGAAGAGCAAGAGGAACAGGTAGAGGGGTTGGAAGAGGTAGAGGCAGTGGTTATGGGTTGTTTCAAGCAAGTAATGGGTTTACTTCTTTTACAGTAAGTTTGCTAACTAAATGTATAATTACTGTGTCTTCCTTCTATTGAATGTGATGTTGTAACTAACTACACTTTACTTTGGCAGAGTGGAGGACAAAATCCAAGGGTTATTAGCACCGGAACTAACACTAAGAGATCCACAGCTTCAACAGAGGAATGTGCTTACCAACCAAGAAGTGCCGGCTTGAGGTGGATGGGCAAAAAAACCATAAGCACAAGACAACTTCAAAGAAATGTAGCATCANGAACTAACACTAAGAGATCCACAGCTTCAACAGAGGAATGTGCTTACCAACCAAGAAGTGCCGACTTGAGGTGGATGGGCAAAAAAGCCATAAGCACAAGACAACTTCAAAGAAATGTAGCATCAAAACACAATCTTAGTCAAGCTAGTTCATCATCTCAACCAACCAAGAAGCAGAAAAAGAAATGAAGACTTTGTTTGTTGCTTAAGCTTTATGTTTTGTTAAGTATTGCAGCTGATAACAATGTGTTATGTTTTGTAAAGTGTTGCTATGGACAACCAAGTAAAGTGCTATATTTTGTGTAGTGTTGCTATGGTCAACCAAGTACTATATTTTGTAAAGAAATGCTTATCAGATTTGGTGTCCACTAATGAACGTCTATTTTGTGGAAATGAAGTATATTTAGGTCTTGAAATCATTTAAGCTGCTCAAATTCTACAATCTTAGTCAGTCTATTTTGTGGAAATGAACGTCTATTTTGTACTGCTTTGCTTTGGTTATACAAATTCTACATTTGCCATGTTTCGTTCCCAAAGCTAAATAGAGATGTAACACTAAATATATAGGAATGTAACACCAGCTTTACTATAAAATAGGGGTTGACCCTCATAGAAAACAAGCTCAATGAGCCAAATACATGAAGACCCAATACATTGGAATATCATTACACTATATAGCAGTGTTGAGAACTACCAAATACAATGGCCTTAATGAAGATTAATCCTAAAATCAGAAAAAAAAAAGCCTCCTCCAGTTCCACTGTTTTCTGGATTCCTGCAAATGGCCTTCAAGCTGATTCTTCTTCTTAAGCAAACCCAAAATCACCGGCTTCAAGTGTTCATGAGTTGGGGGTCAAACCATGCGAAATACTTGCAGCCAATTGACTTATCTTTCTGCAAATCCATAAACAATTTGAGAAGAAGCTTATAAAATCTTGAAATCGAATATAACGCAATATGTAAGATTACCTCGTAATTTTTACAGCCATAGAATCGACGACCAGGATTGTCGTTGCTCCATGAAATTACTAGTTCAGCAGCATCTCCACATCGACAAAATGGACCCGAACTCTCCATTCAATAAGAACCCTAATATGAGAATTGACAGAAGAATGATAATGTAATGCACTTTAATTTACCAAATATAACCGGCCTCTCAATATTAGTTGTGGAAGGTGAAGAAGAAGATTGTTTGGTTCAGAACATTGTTTGGTTCCTTTAAAGAAGAAGAAGATGAAATAAGAGGGAGATGAAGAATTGGGGCAGAAAATGGGCGTTAGGGTTAAAGAAAATGGGCCCAAATTTTAGTAAATAGCCGTTGTAATTAGTCAGTGAAGGCAGAAAGTAACTATTCACGCGCCCCACTGGTCGTGTTTCACACGCCCCAGAGGCTGGTCAAAAGTTTAGTGTGTAATTGACACACTTTTGAAAGGTTTGGTGTGTAAAATAAAACTCGTGTTCAACAGGTGTGTAAGAGGGATTTGGTCTTAAGTTTAATGGGTAGATTATGTATTTTGCCATTATTATAACTGCAATTAGTAGTTTTGATTATGTTCCTTTAGTCTAAATGATTTTTGCCAGTTGGTTTTCTGTAAGAAACTTTATTTATTCACGTGAACGAGCAAATAACCTTGTAAGCAAGATGGGGTGTGTTAGTTGGAGAAATAAATAGAGGATGAAAGTCGTTTTGTTTTTAAAGCTGTGGCAACTACCTTACCCTTCAATAATGTGTAATAGTGCACATTATTGAAGCACAAATGAGGACAAGAAAACCAAATATACCAAATTGTAAAGGGTAAAGTTGTCTTTGATCAACGGCAAAGACATTTTCTCGTGTGATCTATAGGTCACGAGTTCTATCAGTGAAAATAGTTAGTAATATTAGCAATAGGTTAGGTTATCTACATCACTTTCCTTGGGATACAATTTTTACTTGAACCGTGTATTAACGCCGGATGCTTTGTGCATCGAAATACCTTTTTTTATACATATGAAGTGAACGCTAAGTAACCAATTACTTAATTCGGTTCATTTTATGTATTTTAGTTTGACTAGCATAAAACTTAATAATATAAATAAAAAAACTTTTGAATCTTATAATATGTTAAATTAAATGTGTGTATAGCATACCAAAGCACCTTTAAATCTTTAGTTTTAAAGGCGTACCCATTAAAACTTACAAGTAAACTAGATATAAAAATGGCGACTAGGGTTGCAATTTTCATTCGGTGGTTCTATCTATGATTTATTATTCATGGACGTTGATAAGATCCATCCATTTAGTAGGACCTTAGGATGGCATAGCCTTAAAAGTGAAGGAGGTTCAAACGAGGATACTCAATCGTGAATAAATGCAGGCAAATAACTTCTCATATCATGTTATTCCTACAAAAGAGTGTCATTGAGGGTAAAATAAGAATATTAAAAATTAAAATTTATTAAATTTTGTATCATTACTCTATGATTTATGTTTACAAGTTTGTAAATTGGAAGTTTAAACTACTGATAATGTGCAATACGAACCGTGTGGTCTCTAGGAGAAAGGGGATGGTCAAACAATAGGAAACGTGTTTGAACCATAACTTATATCAAATGAAAACAAAATTAATATGATGATACAATGATAAATAAGCGAAACAAAAACATTACTACTTGTTTTTTTGTTAAAAATATTGTGAGGTGTTACTCTGGTTTAAATTTTAGATTCACTAATATGAATATTTTTAAATCTGCGTTACGTAAGACTTATTAAAGAAAAAGTAGTGTTGAACTTGGAGGCTGAATTAAAATTTGAAGTTATGCGTTCTGAATTTGTCACCGAACCCATAATTCGTCTTATTCACTAAAGTCACAATTAAATATTAAAACATACTTCCTTCATTTTTACTTGTCACAATGAACTTCCTACGCCTTTGAAAAATAGTAAATAAAGTACATAGTTTATCATCATATCCATAATAATGATAGTATTTTAAGAAGACTTGAAAAATAATTTGGGAATTGAGTAGTTAATGATAATGATAAAATTAATTTTTTTCCTCTTGATTTACTAAATTGGACAAGTAAAAGTGAAAATATATTTTTAGTATAGTGAATAATTAAAAGTGAATGAAGGAAGTATTCAATAAATTTTATAATACAAATACTGTATCTAAGCAAAAACTACAAAATTCGTTCGAACCCGTAAAAAATACTCTAGCTTTGCCCATGTCTCTATCAGGGGTTCTGTTCCTCTATTTACTAAAAGTTGAGGGATCTCATTTATCTCACGATATTCAAATGTTTTTGCTTGTGAGTTACTTCCTTCGGTTCAAAATAAGTGATTTTTTGGCCTTTTTCTTGTGGTCCAAAATAAGTGAATTTTTCAGATTTCAAGAATGAATTAATTATTTTTTTCCTACACTGTCCTTGGAGTAAATAGTGTTGGAATATGTGTTAGGAGTGTTTATATGAGATAGTAAAGGTTAATATGGTCAATTCCATTACTAATTAATGCTAAAAGGTAGATTTCTTAATCTGTGTGAAAACATCCAAAAAATCACTTATTTTGGACCAGAGAAAATACAATATTATCCATTGTGAACCTACAATTCTTTTCTCCTTTATTTATTTATTTATTTATTTTTTTGTTCTTTTTCTTTCTCTTTTATAGTGGATGTTTATTGGTGGCTAGGGTTTAAAGAACCTCCTAGCTATTGTTTGGTTCGTAATCGTGTAGAATTCACACGCGTTGTAAGACCATAGAATTGGCTTCTAATTTCTCTTTATGGAACGCCGGCCATCTTAATGACCACAAAACCGTGGCACTTGAATATTTGACCAAACCACCCCATTATGTTCTCCTCCTAATTTTTGTTTTAAAAATATTGTTTTAGTTGAGTGTCTATTAAAAATAACTTTTTTATTTTATAAGAGTTGGTATAAAGTCTGCACACATCTCCCTTTCCCGAGATCCCACTTGTGAAATCATACTGGGTAATTGTTGTTGCTGTTGCTGTTGCTGTTGCTGTTGCTGTTGATGATATTCAACTTGCGCACATCTCTGACTAATTCTATTAAGTATTTGCTATATTTCATTATTACATGTATCCAAGGACGTATCTAGGTTAAGGGTTGTGGGCTCGCGCGAACCCATATCTTCCTAAACTATATATAATAGTGTTATATCTCTTTAAAGTTACTTAGATATATGTACGTGCACCCAAGCTCAAACACTTCTATGGTACAATAATTATTGGACGGAACCTCTATAAGTGAAATTCCCGATTCAAATCCCACTCCAGACGATCTTATTTTCGACACGAATTATATATATATATATATATATATATATATATATATATATATATATATATATGTGTGAAAATCACTAAAAAAAATTAAAAAGAATATAATTTTGAACCTATATTTCCAAAAATGTTATGGGTTCACGGTAATAGCCTAAAGTTAAACTCATCAAATACAAATTATAGATTCACCTTTTCACGCTAGCGCATTCAAACTCTTTCAATTCTGAATCTGCCTATTCATGTGCCGGATAATTGTATTCCGTAAAATTAAACATATGAAAGAAATCACTTAATATTTTTTATTTCAATTGCAATTTAAACTTGAGAACTTAAGGTTCTTCATCCACTTTATTAATCACTAGGTTATACTCTTAAATGTCTTTGGGTGGAAGGAGTCTTAAGAAAAATAATCTAAAGGACAAAGTAAAGAAGCTTAATTTCTGCCCAATGCCAAACAGGCTGTCCATTAATCATTAACACTGCAAAAAAGCTAGACAAAAAAGGACTATGTTCAAATAAAGATTTATCCCGAATTCGTTCAAACTTAGATAAAAACCTCAAAAAACAAAAATATCAAGAATTCAAACGTGTAAAAGAAAAACGAATTATAGAAAAAATAATTAGCTTATATAGTGTGTGAGTAAACTTATAAGTTAATCAAGCTAGTAAATATTTTTTAATTTATTTGCGGGTAAACACGAAATATCCATATAAGTTGTGTGCTTAGAAGCTAACACTAGTTTAAACCTATAATTAAACTTATTGTTATTCGGCTTATAAGAATAGTTTGACCAAAATTTTTATTTTTCTATACCTATTATCCTTTGTAATTTTTGGCGATAAAGTACCGAGGGAGGTTCTGTAGAGATATTTGGAGGCTAGAGGTGTTTCTGTTGAATA